TTTCTGTGGGAAAAAGAATACACATCCGAGTTATTTTGTGTTTGTGTTTGTTTTGTTTGTTTGTGCGTGTGTTTCTTTGGTTGCAGTTCGAAAAACACGGGTTATGAACTAGTTAAACCCAGAGTCGTCCGAGTTATTTTGTGTTTGTGTTTGTTGTGTTTGTTAGTTCGCATTTCCCCATCTTCAGGCGTCCGAGAGATCAGTCACCCTGACACTTTCTTTTCGCTCGAAGTCTGCACTTAGATGAAAAGGTACTTGCACTTTCTGGCTTCTCAAGTACTTCAATCGTTTCAGATCTATTTCTCTTTGAAACAATTTCAAGCAGCTCCATCTTATGTGTTGGAGACACTCGTTCGTTTGTTCGTTTTCATTTGCTGCTTTCCTCGATGTTTCTTGTTCTGTTAGACTTGCTTTTCTAAAGCGTTTTCGTGTGGTCTCCCATTGGGATTCGAATGAATCTTACCCAACCTGTAAAGCGGTGGGTCGGTTTTAACTCATCTTACCTGCAGGAGGACAGACCGAACCGGTCGAAGTTGAGGGACTTCTGAGCAGCTAGTACCCGTCGGGCCACCTCCGATGTCGAGATGTCCGATCAGCAGACGCGAAGGAGCTTGTCTCATCTTCTTCAAAACAGATCATCGCGAATGTGGTTAAGAATGTCTATCTTCAGACAAGCGTGTACCATGATGTTGAAGATGAGACCTGGGTGAACTTGAGCATGCGTGGAAGAACCGTGTGTTTGCAGAAGCCCAAGCAAGAAAGTCTTGATCCTGAGATGACAACCAAGGGAATGTGCGATCAAGACCCTGAAGTTGGTGATTTGTTGACCAAGGAAGAAGCAGATGCGTTTGCTAAGAACCACAATGTGAAAATCCTCAGTACTCGTTGGGTGTCTATGGACAAGCGAGATGGTGAGACTCAGGAGAAGATAGTGAGATCTCGCGTTGTGGTTCGTGATTATGCAAGCGGAGGACCCACTGCTCAGGAGCTAGGGATCAGTTCGCCGACGTCATCAAATGAAGCCTTCAGAACTTTCCTCATCTTCATCTCTAGTCATGGAGGTGACATCATCCTTGCAGATGTGAGCACCGCGTTCTTGTTTGCTGGTATTGTGAGCCCACCGCCTAACATCAGATACCCCGACAACAGCAGAGTTTACATGGAGCTAAAGAAAGCGTTGTACGGCTTGAGATCAGCGTCGCTTGCTTGGTACCGCATGCTTGCTGAGATGGTTGAGTCGTTGGGGTTTCGCGCTTGCGATACCGAGAAAACGGTGTTCACAGGGTGGTTTGTCTACGAGGGAGATCAGTATTACATGATCTTGCTGGTCTACGTTGATGACTTGATGACAGGATGCTTATCCACTGAAGCCGCGAAGCACTTTGTGAGTTTGTTGTCGAAGAAAGTGAAAATCAAAATCACAGGTGTCTTGTCAGTGGATGGGAAGGTCGAATTGCTTGGAAGAAGGATTCGGAGAGACCAGGAGACCGGAGGTATTCTTGTGAGCCTTCCAGAGGGTTATTTTCATTCCACGTA